TTCCTATATTACATTTTATATAGAAAGTATATAGTACTGCTGCAACCTTCATTTTAGGGGGCCATCTACATGTGCTATGAATTCGATTGAATAAACTCTGATGCAGTTTGCACTGGAGTTTATTGCTCCCAGGTGCTGTGTTTGCATGTGTGCTTGGGACAACAGCACACTGAGCCAGGTCAGAGCAACACGGGCTGTAAGAGGGCCCGAGGGGCCAGCCTGCTAGCCTGGGGCTGCTGTGACACAGCTCAACGTGTTGCAGAGGGGCTGGCTGGGGACATACCTCAGCGTGGGGCTAGCTGGCAGGCAGCCCCTGCACTGAAGCGCCTTTGTGCCCTGGCCAGCCCTACCAGCATCTAGACATGCATTGCAGTGTACTAAACACTGCTGCAGGATAGTACTTGTGTTCACAAGTACTAACCTATGGCAGTGTTTAGTTTACTTTAGCCTAATAGGACCACACGTGTAGATGCTGAACCTTTACTGCAGAGCTAATTGGGCAATTCCACAGTAAACATTGTGTGTCGATGCACCCTAGGTCTAGTTCCTGCTCCCAGTAAAGACACTGGTCAGTCTCCTATCAGCTTCAAATGGGCATGGCTCAATTTTTAAAAAGCATTCACAGGGAAGTCACTGGGGAATGAAAGGACAAGAGCTGGATAATGAACCAATATCATTATACTTGCCGTGCTGGGGGCCAGTGAGATTCCCCCTTTTTTTTCAGGCAAACAGCACCACAGAGCAAGCCAGGCACCAGTCTGACCAAAGATCAGAAACAGAGTCAAAGGAGAATCAGCTCTCTCCTAATTCCTATTTCTTTCCTGTTTACAGAAATGACAAACTGTGTGTTTAAAAATCACAACCCTTGTGTCACTGTATTGACTTTTTGCATGTTCTCCCTTGTATTATCTTTATTTAAATAAATCAATAACTCATAACAGGATGTACAGTTATTGTGTCACCTGAAGTAATCATGCCCTAGGTGCCTTACTAGGCAAGAGAAGATATAATGCATAACATCGAGTCCACATGCCCTACAGTGTTCTGGGTATAATTATAAAATGTTGATCTTAATATTTAATGAGATACAATTGTGTTTCATAAGTGCAAAACTGAGAATACCCACTTCACCTTCCATCCATAAAACAATATATTGAATGCAATAGCTGCATGCATGGAACATTAAAGTGAAAGACTATATCTTTAACTGTTGTAAACTGGCTTAGGTCCATTTAATGAATTTTAAGGTAAAATGCCCAGGAAACATAGAATTTAAAGGGCCTAAATGTCCTCTTATTTACAGCTATAACCCTTATGGCTATAAAAGTTGGGCCAGATAATAACCTGACTTACACCAGAATACGGTAGGTTCAAAGCAGTGACAATGTTGGGAAGTCAAGTTCTTACGTGGCCACAGAATCTTACAATCCTTGCTTCTGAAATATGTATGACCAGATATAGTGCCTATTACCATAAACTGTCCAATATAGGTTTTTGGTACTGTTATGAGAAATATGGCTGGTACTGTTTCCAGAAGTGATGTATAAATAGCAAAAAAGCATAAAGGAAAGTAAGGATAAGAAACCATAAATAAGAGGAAGAGAAGAATAGCTTCAGGGTAGCAGTATTTACTCAGAATTTGGTTAATATGCTTATCTGCTTCTTCATGTTATTTTTTGTACTCACATTTTAATGTGTGTATATGCACACACCTTGATATTTTTTTTTCCTAATTCACTTATTCAAAAGCAATAAACTGAATGCAAAACATAAGAATTGCTATAATAAATAAGGACAGCACTTTCAGAAGAAGGTGGAAGAAGCCCCATACTACTAAAAAAAAAAGAAGAGGAAAATGATATTTAAAAAGAACGTACAGGCTGTGTCCAGACAAGTGTGGATGTACAATATGTGGCACCGTAGACCCATCTGTCGAACCGCACACCAGACATGCAGGCATTACCAATGCTATTCCCTTGCAGCATGGGGGATGGGGGTTTGACCCCGGGAGATCCTGGGGTCAAAAAAAACCACACCGAAAAAAAGCAGGACAGTGCACATGGTGGCATCACGCAATGTATAAAACCACAGGCTGGCTGGTCGAAGCCATGCTCCAGCTGCTGGCCAGGCTTCCTACCGTGGCTGTAATCCCAGAAGGCCCCCCAGGACCCCAGGTGAGGCTGCTGGGGCCAGCACAGTTGCTGGCCCCAGCCTCCCCTACCCCATCTGGGGTAATCTGCCACATACCAGAGCGCACACGGCACAGGCGTTCCCCGTTGACAAGTAGCAGTGGCACAAGGTGTTCTGCTGCTACTTGTCCCCTGGGAAACAAATGCCTGCGCTCATCTGGATGCACCCACAGAGACAGTACTTGGGTGAAAAACAACAACATTATGCAATAACAGACTAAACTCCCTTTCTCCATCTCTGAGGAAATTGTATTAACATTGGACTGTTACTGCCTCCACATAAGGCCTAATTGCAAAAGACAGGTTGATCTTTTTGGTGACACCAAGATAAGCTTTGGCATGAGAAAAAAATTAGGTGCTTGATTCCAGGGAGATGATTATATACACATATATATGTATGTATATATATGTATGTATAGATATACACTTATGCTTCCTGTGCAATCAATGAGGAGAGTGAAGGGTTTTGCATCAGGAGCTGCCTGGCATTAAGCAGTGGAAATGTCTTACAAAAATGTGTCTGAACTCCTGCTTCATTCTCAAACTTCGACACCTGATTCAAGGCTACATATTAGCTTGGAGCTAAAGCCTGGAGCCCACATTTGGTGGTGTTGCTGTAAGTATTCACCTTTTTTAAAAAGGCTGGTAGTTAAAGCCTTTCCTTGGGATGATGTAAACCAGTATTCTAGACCTCCTCAACCTCAGGGGGTTCAGACCCATATCTTCCAACTTTCCTTCCCGGAAAATGCCTAACCCCTGGCTATAGAGGGGTGCCTAGCCCCTGGCTATAACTGGGTATGGACATCCTCTATCCCTTCCATTGAAGTTGGACAGCTGTGTAGCCAAGAATACAAAGTTAAGGAAATCAGAAGATGAGAAAGCAAGAGGAAGCTGACTTTATAGCCTACTGGTGAAGATGCCCAGCTTGGAGGGGTATACCTGGGTTTAGGTCCCTGACTCCTGGATTGGTTATGCATTCTACATTACGTGGTGCATCTACACAAGACACAACGTCACCATAGCAACAAACTACAGTGACATAGCTTGTCACTACTGCAATGTAGCATCGGTGGGCACAAACCATGATGCTGATACTACATCACTGTAGTGATGAGTTACCTTGTTATAGCACATCGCTATGTTGACATAGCTGCTTAAAAAAAAATCAGGCACTGCTGGTACAGTGCAGTAAAAGCTGTTACTGTGCCATCATTTCGTATTTCCTAGACCAAGTAACAACTGCACTGTGAGGGGCATTTGTAGACACACCCACAGAGTCATAATTGGGGAGTAGGATTTAGGCATCTAATTTACCTATCTCAGTCTGTCTCTAATTCAGCAAAACACTTAAATACATTAAGTCAATAGGGTTTAAATACATGCTTCAATGCTTTGCTGATTTAGGACCTTATGCCCATTTCATAGTGGTAGAATTCCAATGTTTTCAATTTATTCAATTTGATGCAACTGGGAACAGAATTTGACCCTTTATTTGGGGTGGGACTGGGGGGTGAAGGCAGGAAGTGGGAAATCAAACTTATTTAATTTTTCTAAAACACAAAAAAAGGACCAGGAAAAAAAGAAATCCAGACTCCAATGGTGAAATGTTTATATTCAAGAGATTTTATGAACCTAGGAGGTAGCCTTCTGAAAGTGGAAATTTGCCTCTAGTGAAACTACAGAAGCACTTTAACAATGACAAGTAAATGTGTAATAAAAATAGGGAGGGAATTTAGTCTGAAAACAAGCAGCAACCAATAAGAAATCATGTAAGTATATGAAAAATATGAAATGAAAAAAAAGTAAGCCTACTAAACTACTGAAAGCTAAGGAGCCATTAAGAAGGATACAAATATAGCAGAGATGACAAATGACTCTTTAGCATTAATCTATACTACAAAGAATGCTTGGGAAGAAAGAAACCTACTCTTTTTGAGTACCGAAGAGGAGGCATGATCCATGATTTAAAGGTCAACAGAAATGTGGTAACAAGCGGATAAATGAAAAAGTACAAATTGCCAGGATTGGAGTGAAAGCCTGACACCAGAGAAATATAGGGGCAGATCTGTGGGGCAGGGAGAGCAGTGGTGCACTTGTAACCCCTTTGATTCCTGCTCCATCCAAAGTTTAAAACCAACTGTCTGGTAGTGGCAGCAACATTTCTAGTCAGGTGGCGCTGAGCGAGCTATTTGCCTTCATGGCTCACTGTAATCTACCTGATCCCTTCTAAACTCTTCATTCCACAAGTGTTAACAACCTTCTCTTATTTTTAAATGGTCTTGATGTTTCACCAATCGAGCTCTTTTTTGCTTTGCAATTCTGCTATCTCAGCTGCTCCTGGTAATGAAGCTCCTATTTCACAGCCCTGCAGATTGTTTGTAACGTAGTCCAAGGAAGTTGTATTTGTCTTTTGCTTCAATGTTCAACTGAATAATACAGCCCTAGGTCCCTAGCATATTACTAAAGCATCTAGTTTATTTTTGGTTCCAGGCACCATGCTGGAATTTTTATTCTTTGTGTTTATTTTTAACTGGAGAAAAATGTGTGTTGTTTTTATATGTGATGATATACCTCACCATCTGTATGGCACTTTTCAAAATCCCAGACCTGCCCATAGAGAAAGATGCAAAATAATGAATAGCATAAATATGGTAAGCAGGTGTTCTTAGTTGTTGTGGCAGGGCACTGTTGGTGCCTGCCACTTTAAGACTGGAGCCAAGCAGCCAGCAGCTGCTTGATTGCAGTGGCCATTTTAGATCTCTGGCTGCCCATATAAACAGGGCAGTTCACTGCTGACAGGCCAGGCAGTAACATGACCTGGCTGCGAGGCTGCATAACATCTGGGAGGTAAGGGCAGGAGCTGTAGGGGATGACTTGGAGGCTCCTGGTCCTAGGCATGACCAAAAACTGCACCCTGCCAGGAGTGGGTGGCCTGGTGGGGCTCTCCGTGATGCAGGAGCCACCAGGAAATGCCAGGCCAGTCATCACCCTGTGAAAGGCAGGTCAGGGCACCTTAACCCTAGCCGTCACATTCAGGGGGGTTACCTAACATTGGAGGTAGTGAGGCCAGGCATGGCTGTGGCCACCTGAGCCCACAGGGGAGGGAAGCCCCATGTCCCCGAGTGAGGGGGCGGAGATGTGGAGCCCCGGTGAAGGGGGGTAGTGGGAGATGTAGAGCCGCAGTGAGGGGGAGGAGATGAGAAGCCCCAGTGAAGGGAGGAAAACCAGAGGGCTGAGAGCCCAGTATGTTTATAGAGAGAGAGAGTTGTCCCCCAGAAGGGGCCAAATCAAGCTTAGACCCGGTTGGGGAATTGGCTGGCTACTACCCCGGTGAAGGTTGTGGGAGAGGCCCAAAAGATGGTATGTCTGCTACCCAAGGTACGAACTAGCTAAGCCTATGGCCTAAGGGGCCCGCTCCAAGAAGGAGCAAGGTAGTATAAGTTGTCGATGCATGAAAGAGACCCTGTGAGAGGGGGTGGAGTGAGAGGCCCTCGTGAGAGGAGGGCGGTATGAATGTGAGTACATCTGAGGACTAAGCTTGGTCCGGCTACAGGCCGGGAGCACTGTGTCATCTGGATGCCATCTGTGAGGCTTGGGCTGCCGTGTAGGGGAGGGTCGGAGCTGCAGATAGCGCCCCCTGGCATCGGGGCAAGAATGGTCAGCCTCCCACCTTAATTAACATTGTAATTAATTAAGAACAAGTCATGGCAGGTGAGTAAGGTGGGTGGCGTGCCCAAAGGCAAGTGAGGAAAACCAGCACTGGCAAAGTGAGGCTCCCTGACTACCACTAGCACTCAAGTGGCAAGCACCCCAAAGGTGCTCCGCCACACCTCTCCCCACTTAGAATGACATTCGGGGGGCTTTGCTTAGCTGCCTTCCCTGCTGGCTTTTTCCCAGCCTACTGCAACTCCTGCCACATGGCATGCACCCAAAACATGCTCTGCCCACTTGTCATAATGCAAGAACAAGTGGCTAAACATTTGACAGTGGCAACATGTAGGGGGTGCATGGGGGTGCACATACACCCCCTGAGAGCTCTGGTGTACCCCATCACAGCAGCATTCCCTGCTGAGGTGGTGGGCAGGGGGGGCAGGTGGGAGCACTGGTGCCCCCCCTGAGAGTGCTGGCTGGGGAATGGAGGTGCCAAAAGAAGTGCCACTGGCCCTTCCAGGTGCATCCTTGGCCCTTCCAGGCATGCCGCTGGCACTTCCGGAAACATTCCTTCTTAGAGCCAGCTTAGAGGGAACACTGCTTCTAGGTTGGCTGTGAGGTGCCCCCCCGTCACTGACTGGCTGCTGTGGGGGCAAGTGTCCCCCCTGACTCGGGAGGCACCAGTTGCCCATGATATTTGTTTAGTCACTTGTCAACAAATCTAAGAAGTAGTACGTTCTTAACATAAGACTTGGAAAGGATTCAATATTTTGGGGGATAATTAAGATATTACTAACCAGTTATATTAGATACTCACACAGTTACAATAAATCAGATTGTAATGGTAACTTTTGGCCTTAAAACTTAGAAAAAAAATAGTGACCTAAACCCCCAGAAGAATCTGGTAGTGGATACCATCAGAGATATTTGACTAGACAGATCACTGGTCTGATCTCTTATGGCAATTCCTGTATTGCCAAACTATTGTTCATCTTGTATGCCCTTTTGCTATTATTAATGTCAATAAAAAAAGCATTCAGAAATAACAACATAATGTTGTAAAACCAGAGAGAACAAACAAGATTAAAAAAGCATTTCCTTTACTGGGATTTTTGAGAGCTAAAGGTTAACTTCCAATTAGAGTTAAAAGGAAGGACTTTTATTCTACTTTAGTTGGGACTTTTAGCAAATTATATTTATATGCACAGGGTACTTTTTTTCTCCTAATAACCTTCTATTTTGTTAGGTACTGTAAGGTTGTCACAAGAACTTGTTTAGCGGATTTAGGCATAAGACATTCAGTGATGATAAGACTTGTTAATATTACATTATTGAAAGCTACTGCCTTGCAATTGATTGCAATCAAGTTACTAAGTAGCTGCCCAGTAAATCCTATTCACCAAACTTGTGCTGCCAAGTGTAAATAATATTCAGTGCAGAGAGATTAATTCTTTATCACATCTATGTAATAGTAAAATAGCTATAAAGGTACTGTATTCAAAATAGCATAAAGGAAGAAAATAAATTGTACAAGACAATAATCAACCTGTTTGAATAGTAGGAGGCCCAAGAGATTTCATAATACTTTGCATTTTTATAGAGCTTCAATCTAAGGATCTCAAAACACCCTATACATATTACTGAAATAAGCTTCTCAACATCTCTGAGGTAGGGAAATATTATTAACCTCATTTTACAGATGAGTAAACTCCTTTACAGAAGAGAAGGCACAGGGAAGACAAAGCCAAGTGATGTTCCCAAGATCACAAACCAGGTCAGTAGCAGAGCTGTAAACAGACTCTATTCTTACATAATATACCTAAGGACAGACGGATGGATAGAAGAGAATTCAGACATATTGACTCAGTCTAGATCATCTGCTTAACTATTAATAAATGAGGGAACATTTATTAATGTATGAAGCTAAATTCCCATTTTATGAGATGAAAAGTACATGTCAATGACAAAAGTGGCAGAATTTCCTATTACTATCCTTAAGCACTAGGCATGAATTTCAGGCACCAAAACCATCTTCTTGAGGGAGAACTTAGCCAGTTGTATGACTCATAGCACACATGTTCCTGGTCCTAGGGTTTCTTCCAAGGGCAGGCTTGAAATCACAGAGATTAGTCCCACTGGCCCATGTTTGTGTGGCCTCTCCTTAATCTGTCTTCTAATTCCTTTATCTACAGCCAGTATGGGATTTATTCCAATTTTGTTGGTAACATGTCTGTCTTTTGCCTATCACTGTATGCACTAGGAAGTAAGCATGCAGAGGGCATGACTGGGCTAGATTATATCTTCTGAATTCCTGACCTCACCCTTTTCTTTTCTTGCAATATTACTTCTAGAACTGTTTTGCGACTTCAACTGCAGCAGGAACTACTGAGTACTTTGAGCAGTACTTGACAGAGGAGTTAAGTGAAGGATCTTCTATCAAAGTCAGAAACTAAAGGCCTATTTGTAATCTGAGTTAGACCTGAGCTTCTCATGAATCCACTACAGCAACTATGCTGGCAGAGCAAAGTGCACCAGCTGGACCATGTTTCAGGGGTGTTGATTACAGCCATGTTGGTCTAAGGACATAAGCAGATGAGGTTCTTTGGGTAAATGTGATCTCTTTTATTAGACCAACTAAATAGTTGGAAAAATTGTTCTCTACAAGCTTTTGGGCACAAACACCCTTCAGGCATAGAGAGAGTCTGGTGGGGTTTGCATACTCCCCTCAGTGGAATAGAAGCTTAAGCCAATATGCAAAATGCAGGCCTGTGAAAATGCAAATACATGACAGGGAAGATCAGAGGGGATAGGAGTTAATTGGTGTGAGACAGGTAGGTGGGTGGGAGGAATTTGACCAGTGATAAAATGTACCTGGACCATGACAGACAGCCGAAACCTTGCTCCACTTCAGTAACCCCAGTTCAGTAGCCATAGGTAACTGTGAGTACTCGGTGATAGAGCAAGGTTATGGTTGCATAGTGATGTTTAGGAGAGAAAAATGTAAATCAAGTAAAGCCCATACATTAAAATGCGTTAAAACCCCATTGCAGGGTTGCTGGTGGTAGCCATGTTGATATAAGGACATAGGCAGGGAAAGTTCTTTGGAGAGAGGTGATATCTTTTATTACACCAACTAAATAGTTGAAAAAAAAGTCTTTGCAAGCTTCCAGGCACAAACACCCTTCATCACGCATAGGAAGACTCTGCTGGTGTTATATATTCTCCAGCGTAAAAAAGAAACGTATTTACAACAAGCAGGTCTGTGAAAATGTGGATGTTTGGAAGATAATAGGTAGAGATGAAGGGAGGGAAATGTGTGAAGGAATGCAAATGGTCAGTTGGAGGCAGGTAACCTGGAGTGTCAGATGGCAGGCAGGTTGTAATGCATCATAAATCTAATATCTATATTAAGTCCATGTTTTTTGTATCCAGTAGACTTATGAAGTGAAGTTGGTAGGCTTGTCTACAAAAGGTATAACAAATGTAAAAAAAAGAAATGTAAAACCTGCCAACACATCTCCACCAGACCCACAATACCTACATCCTATAAAAGAACCATCACCATTCCTGGATCTTACACCTGCACCTCCAGAAACTTAATATATCTCATCCAGAGCACCAAACACAGGCAGATTAAGATGCTTCAGTTCCCTGGGCAAGAAGAGGATTGTGCACCCCAGCAGAGAAAGGAACCTCTTCTCCTCTTGGTGCTGCTGCTGCACTGGAAAGTTACAGTGAGTGATATGGAGAAAGTGAGGGGATGACTTATTTGTATAGGTGTATGCAAAATGTATATGCAAATGAGTCTTTTTGTTTGCCTTGTATTGCTCACTGTGGCTGTCCAGTGAGTGAACTGCACAAACATTGAAGACTAATTATTGTATATCTGGCAACATTTTCTCTCAGGCTTCTGGGCCCCTTTGGGTCTGAGCCTAGCTGGCCCATGCATTAATCTGCCTATGGCACCAAATGGCCCATGCAAAATATGTTGGAGAAACCAAACAACTGCATACCAGAGTGAACACACACTGAAAATCTATCAAAGATAAAAATATCCCATTACCTGTGGATGCCCACTTCTCACAAAACAATCATTCCCTCTTCCATCTTTCAGTTCTAATTCTCAAAGGGAATTTACAAAACACCTTTCATAGACAACCCTATGAACTTCACTTCATCAACCTAATGGATACAAAAAATATGGACAATATAGACAATGGATTTATGGAACATTACAACCTGCTTGTCATGTGATACCCCAGGTAACCTGTCTCCAGCTGACCACATCCATTCCTTCACACATTATCCTCTCTTCCCCTCCCCCCTCCTTTCTCTACCCATTATCTTCCAGACTTCCACTCATTTTCATTTTCACAGACCTGCTTGTTATAAATTAGCTTCTTTTTTATCTTGGAAAACATATAACGCCAGCAGAGTCTCCCTATGCCTGACAAAGCTTGCAAAAAAACTTTTTTTTCCAACTATTTAGTTGCTCTAATAAAAGATATCACATCTACTCAAAGAATCTTGCCTGCCTTAAAACCCTATTTGAATGCTCTAATTCAAGAATAAAGCACTCTTAGTCACTCTTAAGTTGGTTTGCCTTTTCCTGAGCATCCCAGTGAAAGCAAGCCTGCCATGTCTCACTAAATTACTTCAACTGCCAGACTGGATTAATCTCCCAGACATTTCTGTAATCTGGCAGGGAGGTTTTGGCTATGACCTCCTACCACATGAATAACTGGACCAACACTCTGTTTCTGTATGAGAATTCTTATATGCCTTTGTAAAATTGTCTCACTGACCTAGCTTTAAAATACTCTAACAATAAATATTTCACTAGGGACAAATTAAAAACATTGTGACAAATGAAATTAATTATGATATAATTTTTCATTAGATTGAACAATATCTATTCCTTAATTCACTATTTTTGACTCAAGTAAAAGTTTATTCAAAGTTGGCTTTGGGTGTGAGCAAGTGGGGCAAAAATCATTAATTAAATTGATGTACTAGCATTTATTTTTACAGCAGTGAGACCCATTTTAAAAAAATGTTCCATACAGGAAAGGAAGCTACATATCAGATGTTATGCAACTGAAAAAATGAACATATAAACGTTAATGATAACCAAACTGGTTTGAAAGAAATGTGTACATATATCGTACCCCAGCTCAGATTTTTTACATGAAACTTAACTATTTTCTCTTTCAGATGTCACAAGTTTCTGAAGATGGTATCGCACAAAATCCTTTGCATTTCTGGCAGACTTAGATCTGAAGTATTTTAACACTTTCTCAGGGCCAGGGAAGCAAAATGCTTGTGAAGCCACCTGTGAACTTGCTGAGGTAGCTTTTTAAAAACTGGGAGGGCATCAGAAGTTCCAGTGTATTGTCACATCTGTTTCATATTCCCTAGGCAGATTTCACAAATATTGAAAATATCATGTTTGGAAATGAAGGAGAGTCAAGAAAGAAAAGCTTGAGGGTTGGGAGTGTTCATGGTGGGACAGGAATCTGTCTCTATAGAATGACCATTTTAATAAGCCTTGTGCTAACAGATGTGGGCAGAAGGAAGTTGTACCATCTGCTTAGACACCATTTGAATGTATTTAGCACTTACAAAAACTCATACTAAAAAACCCCAAACAAACAAAAACAATTCGATCTGTCCCTCTCAGAACTTACTGAGGGCTAGAATCAGGTAGTGTGCTGTACAATTAGGAACAAGGGCTAGAGAGCGAGAAAGAATGGAGAAGAAAGATGGGACGTGGAAAAAAGAGAAGATAGACAATATTTAAGAATTCAGAGCAGAGTAAGTAGTTTATTCCTCCTGAATCTTAGAACCCATCTGGTTTTGAGATTCACCCATCACTATATAAAAATTAAAATGCAGCATGTGAAATGTGGAGTCAAAAATCACATTAAAACCATTTGGAATCAAAATCACATTCAATCTGGTGTATTATGGAGGACCCATGTCAAAAAAAGATAATCCACCTAAAGCCCCACAGGAAATGTAATTTCAGAAGATTAATAATGTTGGCTTTTCCACCCTGCTATTGGAATCTGTTAATGCTTTAGTTTATGTGTTGGCCATATGGCTTAGCATCAAGATAGAAAGTATTTGCATAAGATATACTCGTTTTGGAAGAATGACCATTTTAATAAGCCTGGCTCTCTCAGACATGGGAAGAAGGAGGTTGGGCCATCTGCTTAGACACCATTTGAATGTATTTGGAACTTACAAAAAACTCGAACCAAAACACAAACAAACAAACAACAATTTGATTTGAATTTGCAGTAAGTCTTCTTATGTTCCTATAAAAATAAGGGAAGATAAATACAGTCACCCATAAATTACAAAGACTTCAGATATAGGAGCTGTCCTTTTTAAATCCCAACAGTGTTTTGTAGACTGCACAATAATTAAGGCAATATTAGATCAATACTTTGGGGACTATCAATCATTTCACAGCCCTATGGGCTAAGATCAGGTATAGTTTGGGCACTTTCCCTGAGAGTCAGCTGGGCAAAGAATGGAGAAGATAGAGAATATAAATAAAAGAGGTAAATAACAATAAAAATAAGTATGTTTTGTCTTTAGGAGATAAAATTTACCTGGCTATAAGGTTTTTATCTGCCCTCTGGTTACAGTATATTAAGAGGTTCAGATCTTCAACTGGTGTAAAGGGGTGTAGTTCTGTTGAATCCAGCAAAGCTGCATCCATTTACACAAATTTAGTCAACCATGACTGAAATTCATGCCCTGTTTACTCAACAACAACTTGATTCTGTTCTGACTTTTCATTGGAAATATTTACACACTAGTTGAATGATGTCAAAAGGGTGACACTGCCATGGGAGGGTTGCACCTTCAATAAAGCTACCATGACGTGCCAAGATTCATTTATAAATAGCCATTTTTTGTGTCTGTGCTAGAAACATTTCTGGAATTTTGATGTTTGTGCCTGTATGAGAGCAAGGAAAGTGAGATACACGACTTCCACACCCATTACCTTGTCCATAGCATCTCTGAGTACCATGGATTCTCATATAAATTTTAGTTTAATGGGGGCTCAGAAGCTGGGAACTATCAAGTTAGTGATATGTTTAGGCATTATTTGTTATAAAGGACTCATAACATAACTACTTGTACACTTAATTAGTGTTTGGTTGGATGATTCTTGTCCAGACTTAATATGCTTGGAACACACAGAAGCTAGTCCTGTCTTAGAGCAAATTTGAACTAGTAATGCCTAGTACAGACACCTCGTCTTCACAGCTGAAGAATCTGCATTTTTGTTTAACCCTGGGGCAACTAATAGGTGTGAACTACATCAAAGTAAAAATACAGTGAGTGCAAGGCAGGTTAGTTTTACTGAGAAGTAAAATAAGCGTTGCCAACTCTGCTCACAAACTGGGGTTGACCTTGCCTAGGTTTCCTCATGGGAAAATTTAAGTGCCTGTCATCACTGTGTTCTTACCTTGCATATTCATAGGTTACCCTGAGCTAAAACACACCCTTTGTTAGCAGGAAGGTCAAGGCCCTAAGAGACAGAAAAAACATGGAGAC